ACCCCCCCCCAACTGCCTCTCAGTGCCACCACCACCTGCCCCAAGTACAGCATAGTGCAGCCCCCAGCCCCAGCCCACAGCTGCAGCCTGCCTGGCCTGACCCACACAGATCTGGGGGCACACACCTTCCCTGTGCCCTCCTGGGTGAGCAACACGCAACAGCACGAGTGCCCCTCCCCTCCCCCCGCTTCATCCCATGTCTGCCCTGTGCCAGCTGGGCAGCGCCTACTGCAGCCCCAGCACCACTCCCTCCCTCACTGCAGGGGGGTGTTGATCTGCCCCCCACACCCTTTCCTTCCACCTCCCCTTTCACCACAACAGACTTACAAGCTGCATGCAGCTCTCCATGTTGCCAGGCTGTGCTCCTTGCTGCCTGCATAGTGCGCTGCAGCTGTGCACATGCATGGGCATTTATCAGCCAAATTACTGTGGCTACATCAGGCCAATTTCTGATATAGTCAATTTTCTTTATATCAGTGCTGATCCGATATTGGACTAATGTATCAGTGCACCTCTAGTGTTTAGTGAGTCTAGGCATTTCCAGGATTAGGCAGCTGCTGAGCAGGATATATTCATGTGCAGATTTGGAATTACTATATTTATGTGACTCCAAGATAAGGGATTTTTCTCCATTCAACATGGGAAGACAAAGCCTTGTCTTAGAATTGAGTGTGAGACTGCTCTAGACAAGAGTTGTGGGGAGCAGTGATGTTCTCGGATGCAAGGGGAGCCCCAGAGCCACCCCTGTCCTACTTTGCACCATGGTGGAGGGAGCAGCTGTACAGGGAGCCCAACTTGGCCCAGGACAGCAGCAGTGATGTACAGGTTCCTCCTTCCAGGACTTGCTCTCAGGCAGCAGGGGAGATAGGAGAAGAAGAAAGCTGGGCAGGTGACTCTCTCATGGGAAACTAAATATATGTGGCCCAAGAAGAAAAGATCCAGACCCTTTTGTACAGGACACCAGTTTGCTATAGACATAACTGTTAGCTCAAAAAAAGATCTATCAGATATTTAGGCTAAAAAGGGGAGCCAACGTTAGAAAAAATGGAAGGTTGTTATAAAAGAAGAAAGCAGAGATATATACTGGGGCTATGTCGTACAATGGTTAGTCTTTCATTTTCCTTACAAAAAATCCTCAAGTTTACACCTATTCAGAGGATGCTGAACGTTTTTTACTGAAAGGATTTTCTTCTATAAGCATTACACAGCTTCAGACTAAGAAAGGGACTGATTGTTAGAAAATTTTCTATAAAAGGTATTGACTTTAGTGAAAGTATCCAAGCTTCCTCCCAGCGTCCCAGTGATGTAAATCTAGATTGCTCCTTAACTGCTTGAGATAAGCCTAAAACAGATAATTGCAAATGTTGTGTATTTTTACATGCACATAATAACTTTCTAATACCCTTGTTATGTGAATAGTGAAATGATGTACATACAACCCAGCAGGGTCATTTGATGTTACAGCTAGTTAATAGTATACGAATTACTGATAATTGGGAACTTGGTTATTTGGCAATGCTTCACCAACTTCTTTATTAAACTCAGAAAGACCAGAGCCAACTTTATAGTGGTTGTTAAGATGAAAGGCCAATTCCTTTTTTTAAAGACTTTATAGGTTTTTAAAGACCAGTCTGAAGACTTTTATTACTGCAGAAGCAAAATCAGGAAGGCAGATTTAAAGGGTGAACTGCATGTGGCAACCGAGGTTAAGAACAAGATATTCTATAAGCATGTTGGCCAGAAAAGAAGGGCCAAGGAAGCTGTGGGTCCTCTGTTAACAAGCCATGGTCAACTCCTAACCAAAGATGCAGCTACTTTGCCTCAGTCTTTGCAAAAAAATTAAGCTGCAGCCAGACACCTAATAAGAATTAGCTAGATAAGAAAGGGGGCAAGCTGAGGAAGGAGATAACAAAAGAAATGGGCAGACAGCTTTTGTTGGGTTAATGAATTCAAGTCAGCAGGGCTGGATGAGCTTCACCTCAAGGTCCTCAAGGAGCTAGCAGAGGACATCTAAGATCCCTTGGCAATGATTTTCATGAAGTCACAGGAGATGGGCCAGTGTACCAGAGTAGGGAGTCAGAGGAGTTGGACACCACTGGACTAAACCAGTACTCCTAGGAGAGAATTCTCATCCATAAAGGTATAACACTTGCTTGCAGGGGTTGAATGCTTTAAGATGCAGCTAATGACTTGTAGGC